TTTTCTCCCTCAGAACAGAAGCCTAAGGTTGTCATTGGGAAGAGAAGGTCCTTTCTCACTGGGCTTCAAAGTGCAGATTTGATCCATAGGAAGTGGACATCTGCTGAACATAAGGACATTTTGAGGATTTGAGTTTTTGCCAGTGAGGTGGGGTGCAGTCATTTGGTTTCTCTGTCTCATCTATTTGCTCCTTCCATCCTCATTCCTGCTGGGAGGAGCATTTCAGCAAAAAGACATATTACATTGCTTTAAGAATCTTAAGGAAACAGCATGTGGAGCTTCAAGCATGTGCAAGCCAGCACCTTTTTTTGAGTGACTGGGTAAAATTGCAATATTTCCAGATTCTCTCACCTGGCCTTAGTACATCTCCATATAAATAGGTGTTTCCAAGGGGTGGAGAGAAGTAGTCCATCTCCATATCAATAGGTGATTACAAGGGTGGAGGGAATGAGAGCATATCTGGACTGAAAAGGTTTGTTGGAGTCCCTTTTTGCAGCCAGGTCATGAGAGACATGGGCAAGCAGAAGTGGATGACTGCTTGTAGGCAATAAGTGGGTATCTCCCACTTTATTTCTTCCTTTGATTTTGGCTTCAAAGGTTATTTGCCCGGGAGTGAGAACATATTTTCCCCCAGAGTTATAGCTGGCATAGTCAGCAGGAGCTCCAAACCCAAAATCTGTCTTCATGGGTGCAACACTTGGGTGGGCTGCCCCTAGAGATGGTGGGGAGGCCCCAGTGGCTGCTGCAGTGGTGGATGATGACTCACTGTCCCCTCTGGCAGCAGTGGATGGTGTGGCTTCACCCAGGAGCCCCCTACCCATGGGGCTTCCACTCAGGGAGCCCCTAGTGGGAAACTGGTCTAGGGTAAAGCACCTCCTAGAGGGGTGGGGCCTCCCCTCCCCTCCCCTCCTCCAGAATTGGGGAAGGGTGGAGACACTGGCAGCTGTGGAATTAGACCTCCATGAGATAGAAGACTGCTTAGAGGCCCTGAGTGGCCTTGTAGCAGCCAGGATTGTGCGATGTTTGTTTCTCAAGAGAGTACAAAGGATTACGGAGGAAAGAGACACGCTTTGGTGTTGCTTGGAGGAGCTGGGCAATGACCTATGAGATGCCCTTTAGAAAGAGAGACAGTTATTGAGAAGACTGGTCATGCTCCTGGAAGATATATTAGCAGCGAGGGCAGAGGCAGCAGGAGGCCATGGGGGAGGGGAAGGAAGGAGCGGAGCCTTCAGCCCTGGAGATGGTAGAGGAGTTATCAGGGAGGGTGAGCGAGTGGGGCCAAGGGCCAAACTGTTGCTGAGACCACCACCTGAGGCACCAGCCCCTCCCATATTAAAGGCCCGCCTGGTCATAATTAAAAAAATAAAAACACGACAGCCGCGGGCCCCTGAGTGGGAGGAGCAGCCCTCTCCCTAGGTTGTGGAGCACTCCATGCTCTGCCCCTATACCCAGGATGAGCTGGTGGATATTAGCATCGGTTTCTGCAGAAGCTGTCGGGACCTCCGCCTACATGGCCCTTGTGTCTTTGGGATATGGGGGTGGAAAACATTATTATGTCAGGGTTCTGAAATGGGTAGACTAGCTTCCCTGACGACTCACCCTTCCCTCTGGCAGCAATTGCAAAGTTCCCATCATGTCTGGGAATCAGGTGCTTCTGGATTGGCCAATAGAAGTCATCAGGGCAGTTTGGCCTAATCAGGGTGGTTTACCATACTTGCGCACAATGACCCCCGGACTCACTGGAATCGTGTGTTACCCATTTTGAATCTGTTTGAAACTTGGCTTCCCAGCACCAGTGACATTAAACCTGAAGGCTGCTGATGGAAAAGAAGAGTTTATAATCCCCCTCTGAGCCAATAAGAGACCTGAACTCAAAATACTGCCTTAAATAATACAGTACTGTTTGATACTATGTGTTATTTGTAATTATGAGGGGCTCATTGTTCAAAGTTGGGTATAAACCCTTTCACCCCAAGAACATTCCATTTTCATCTTTCAGTTTCACTGAATCCATGGTGAACTTGCCCAGGGCTGAAACTCATTGGCAAGACACTACCTCATAACACTATCATTATTATTATTACAAAAAATACCCTTTAATTCAATCAGAATTCATCTCCAAAATGTTATCAATCAGATGAAAGGTTGACCTTAGGTGGTACTTTGACTTTAGGCTTGGAGAGCCCCACATTCAAACTATTTGGGTTCCTAATTTTTCCGTCCAACCAAGGTAATCAATATTAGAAAGACAGAGGCTTATCTTTTAAGTGGCCTTTCTACTCTTAAGAATGTGAGGATCAGGGCAAAGGGATTTGGCAGTCTCAGATAGGAGGGTGTGGGGAAGTTGGGGTTCCTATGGCCAGGATCCTCACTGAACTTAAACCACCTAATGATGTAACTGGCCTATTGCTAGGCTACGGCTTCCACACCTCTAGGCAATAAGCTACTATTGCACTATATAGAGAGGACGGCCCAGTGCTCTGGGCGGAGGCAGAGACGCCAGTGCTTGATCTACCACTGGGAGAACAAGCGGGTAATAAACCCTTTCACCCCAAAGAACGTTTTGCTGGCAATTTATTTGGTCACATTGAATCCATAGCGAACTGGCCTGGGGCTGAAACCCATTGGCAAGAGAGGGGCAGATTGACCGTGCTGGCCTCAGTACAGAGGGGGGTGGTAGGTTGAAGCTGGGTAGGCTCCTCAAGCTGGGCATGGGGAGAAGGGTAGAAAAAGGAAGAGAACAAGAAGAAGGTGCCTCTCCATCTAAAAGGAAACTTCACAGGAACAGAAAAGAAATGTCTCGCTACATCCTTCAGACTCTGAAATGTTCCCTATGGTGCACAAATGGAGGTCTGTGAGAGCAGAGGTGCACAGGGCTGTAGGGCTCTGGAAGTACTCATGCCAAAGAGAAAGTAGAGTTGCTTGACAGCTGACCCACAGGCGTCAGAGCAGCATGCCTGGGTTCTGATCCAGATCTGACTATGCACTACCTGTGACCTCAGGCAGGCTGCTTAACCTCTACTGTGTCATCTCCAAACTGGGCCATAATGTCGATGGGACTCTGGAAGGGATTAAAAGATTTAAAGAAAAACAGTCTAGTGTGCAGGAAGTCCTCAAAAATGTTATCAATCAGATGGAAGGTTGACCTTAGGTGGCTTCCAAAGTCCTTCACCCTCTGAGATGCTTTTGTTGATCTTGATTTTCCCCCTTCGTTTCACTTCGTGGTCTTTCTTTTCCTGCCCATTTCCATAACTAGTCTCCAGGTCCAGGATTACATCCCCGTGCTTACTGGAATGAAACACAAGGAGAGCTTCCCACTGTCCCCACTTTTGGTGGCTTTCTAGTATTCCCACATGGACCTTTTAAACACCAGCCCTTCCTCTTGAAGGCAGCTTTCAGCTCCTTCTGTGTGGTTCTGCACAACAATGAAGAAACTATCATGGAACCCAAACAAGATGAGGCAGGAAAGCTCCCAGCCCAGCGTCCTGGCTCCAGCCAATGCACTGCATGACTCACCGGGTAGGTGGGGTGGCTGCAGTGTTTGTCCTGGGGTTGCCTTTGCTCCCACCCCCAGGAAAGGCTGCCAGGAAGGAAGGTTCTCCTCAGTTCTCCAGGCTTTGTCTTTTGGTTCAGGCCAGAGTGAAATCCAGGAGCCCCTGAACTCCAGACAAACGTCTTGGGGAAGGGGTCTCTCTACCCTGCCTCCTGGTCAGTCCCTCAAAACTATGCTTCCTCTTGACAGCTCTGCTGATTGCTCCTTTTTCTGGACATTTCCTTTGGCTGCATTCATGCAGCCAAATATTCACGATAGAGCGTGGGTACATCACGGAGCCACATAGGGCAAGTTTGAGCACATCTGAACCCGACTTGAGAGGCTGTGCCTCCCCTGCATGCTTGTCTCGGCTTCCTGCTATCCAAACTACATATGTCAGCAAGACCTTTCTCCAAACATCTGTTTGAACATGTCCCATCTCAGCTTCAATTCCTGCTGGCTTGAAACTACATCTCTTATTATGTTGAAATTATTTATATGTATTTTTTTGCTTCTTGGTTTTTGCCTTTGTCATCTGTCTTAGTCTGTTTGGGCTTCCATGTCAAATTACCACAGGTTGGGTGGCTTACAAACAACAGAAATGTATTTCTTATAGTTCTAGAGGCTGGAGGTATGAGATCAGGGTGCCAGCATGGCTGGGAGAGGGTCCCAGAGGCAGAGACCTGCTTGCTGCATGCAGACTCGCTTTGAGTGGACGGGATTATAGCGCTTGACCTGCCACTGTGGGAATAAAACTGGGTATAAACCCTTTCGCCCCAAGAACATTCCATTGTCATCTTTCAGTTTCACTGAATCCATGGTGCACTTGCCCAGGGCTGAAACTTATCGGCAAGATACTACCTCATAACACTATCATTATTATTATTACAAAAAAATACCCTTTAGTTCAATCAATTTTTTTCATGATTATTTAATTCCTTCAGGTTTTTAAGTAGCAACACACTAGTCATTTGTTCATATTTAATTAAGCAAAGGCTCTTTTGTGTTCTTTTCATTTTTATTTTGGTTAATCCCTTTAATCCCCTTTTGCTGAGCAACACTCCCTTAGAGGAGGGATCAAGAATATCTTTCTTTTTGTGCTTTTAGCAGTGTTTCTCGTTTCACTAGGGAGTCCTGGGAACCACACTTTATGGGGCAAGCAAGGTATGAAATTATTCATCTTACAGGTAGTTGTGACCTTAAAGTTCTATGATTAGTGCAAACTACACTTGGAGTAGCATCACCTGAGAGTTTATTAGAAATGCAAATTCTCTGACCCCATTTCAACCTATTGAATCAGAGTTTCTGGGCTTGGAGCCCAGCAGTCCACTTGAAGTTATCCAAGATATTAGAGTACACATTAGAATTTGAAAACTGCTATTTGTAAAAGACTGCAATGTATTTATACGTATTTTTTTGCTTCTTGGATTTTGCCTTTGTCATCTGTCTTAGTCTGTTTGGGCTGTTAAGGTTTTTTTTTTCTCCTTTATTTTTTCATTAGGGTTTATTTTTTCCCCCATGCCCTCAATAGCATATCAGTTCTATGAGAACAGATCCTTATCCATTTAACTTATCCTTTACATCCCTTGTACCTAGACAATGTTTGGCAAAGAGTAGATGCTTAATAAATAATATTCAACAAATTTAGAAATTAACCAAACTCTGCTCCCTAAAGTATATGTCCTCCTGCTGGACTAAGCAGCTGGACTCTCAGGGAGGGCTCTTCACTTCCTGTGGGTGTGAATCTTGTGAATGTGCAAAGGACAACCCCATACAGAGCTAATTTCTTGGTTAGGCTTTGCAAATGTAGGGAGGCAGATCAGAAAATCTGGGAATGTTGGTTGGCCCATAGGCTTATGAGATGTTGCCCATGTTATACCTCAAACCCTAAGCTCATCGGTCAAAATGTAACTTATTATAGTCTTGGTAAGACAATGCTATTCAGGCCGTCAGTGTGAGCAGCAAGGAGTTAAAAAAAAGATGTTCGACATCAGAAACCTGTGGATAAACTCAAACCAACAGCAGTCCTCCGTCATATGACTTCTCCCAAGGTAGCTCAAAATAAGCACATATGATGAGTTTCATACGGTTTTTCCTAGGTTACCTCTGGAAGAGATGACAGGAACAGGACAGGCAGAAACAAAGTTATAAAAGTTTTCATGGAGCTCATCCATCCCCCACCTAGAACGTACAATCTACAGGGCAGAAATTTCTGCATAAATTTTGTTCATTGGATATGATCTAGAGCTGAGAACATTTCCTGCCATGTAATAGGGACCCAGTAATATTTCTTAAATGTCTGAAGAAAAATGAACAGGGCACTTTGCTTTATAATGCCTGTTCTTAAAGGCCAGTACCGTCTGGAACTGCTCTTCCCCCTTAGTCCAGTCTTTTGGGGCATCCTGGACTCTAGAAAAGACTCCCTGTGAACCCAGGATCTTATTTGTGACCAGATATGTCTGAGCCTGGTGCCAAAAGCCTCAACCCTCAGGCCAGCTCCTTAATCGTCTCTCAGCATGGAGGCTGGGTTTAAGGCCTTTATCAGGACTTGATAAATTATCCAGGAATAGGGCCAAGGCACCAGTATCAGAACATAAAGAGGTTCACTCCAGTTTCCCAAGCATTTTTTTTACCTCATTGAGAGTCATCGCTTTTGGTATCTCATTGGAATTACTGAAGAACAAAAATTCAACTGAGTAAACCTGAAGATCTAATTGGCTTTATAAATTGACTCATGAATTGGGCGGCATCCCATCTAGCAAATAGAGGGGAGCTCAAAAGGGGTGGGACTATTAGCAAAAGAAAATCATTGTTTCAGATTAGGTCACCTTTCCTTAGAAGGAAAGGCAGGGGGTCTTATTAAGTGGATGGCCTCATCTTCCTCTGGGTCATTGACGCTGACCAGAAAATTCCTGACCAACCAGTTATATTTCTGGGGGAGGAGGAAACTGCAGTTAGATTAGGTATTAATAGCCCTCTTTGGTGACTTGGCCTAGCATAAATGACTTCATTTTGGGCCTGTGGTTTTCTCTTTAATTCAGTTCTCCCCTCTGGGCCCACTGATAAGCTCAAAAGACAGGCATTTACCCAGTACATAGACACTGGCTTGGGGATCTACTTCACAGCCTTCAGAGAAGGGGCAGTATTGACTTAGGATCTGCATGGTAGCGCTCGTTCCCTGGTCCTCAAGACACAACTCAACCAATAAGGCACAATCACAATTACCACTCAGCTCAGCAAAACAAGGGCAAACTATGACCATATCCAGGTGAAGGAGATACTGAAGGCACCAGGCTTCACCTGAGCCGTGAAGCAGCTTTGTGCATACGACCCTGATGTAATTTAGAGGGATGACAGACAGGGACAGCACTGTCAGCTGTGGCCTTGCAGGTCTCTGGACCTGCTTCCTGCAGTCAGAACAAGCAGCCTTAATCTGGGCCTTCTGCCCTAAGTCACCCTTCTCCCCTTCCCCACCCCACATGAATAATGAAACCTGGCTGGAAATCGTTCCTTGGTACCGGGAAGCTGAACCAAGGATTGGGACCCTAGCTTTTGACTTGCCAGGGTGGTGGATATATTGTGCTTGGTTGACTTACCTTATGCCTCAGTTGCTCTGTGTGAGGACTTTTAGTCGCTGAGTCCCATTCAAAGCTCATCCATCCAACCATTTAGCTGTTCACTTCTAAATGATCCAAGAGAAACATCTGGACATCTCTATCACTGGAGACTCCTGGAGTAATTTTCATTGTATGACAAAAGACATTATATATAGCATACAAGCAGAATAATTATACTTATTTATCTTTCTTTTCCCTCATGCAACTATAACTTCCTCCTAGAAATACAATCTTTTAATTTTTGCCACAGTTTCCTGATAAGCAATGAGTTCTAAGCCTAGCTCATAGTTTCCATTTTTCCCTTTTCTTACCTTCTGCTTCTCCAAGTACCTCATCTCTAGGTAGGAGCACCATGCAGTTCTGTGTCCTCCATGTCTCACGAAGAAAAGTTCAGCTCTCCTTCCCACATGCTCTGTGTCATGACTTCTGCCCAACTCTCAGCTCTGTGTGCTGCTGTCCCCAAATCAGGGGCATCTGTCAGAAAGTCTTGTGCTTCCGCATTTTCTTACTTCATGCTGTGGTTCCGGGAGGAAGGGGGTTCCCTGCCCTGGGGCCAGTTCTCTATGAGTCCAGTGAGACCGAAGGAAGACAAGGGAAAGGGTAGGTGGCAGATTAAAGATTTATTTTTCACAGCTGGTCTCTCTCTCCCCTGGGGCTGCTCTTCTCTCTCTCTCTTCTCTCTCTTCTCTCTCTCTCTTCCCCTCCCCCCCCCCCCCCACCCCACGCACTCCCAAGTCCTCCCTCTCCTGCTGCAGCGGGCTCTCCTTCCCCTGCCCCTTCCAGGAGGAACTCTGTGGGCAGATCCCTGGGTCAACTTGTGCCTGAAGCTGTCAGGTTGGGCAAAAGAAACAGAGAATGCTGCTCCTCTCCACCCCTTACCCAGGACTAGCAATCTTACTAGGGACTGGCAGCTCTGCTGCAGTAAACATCACATTGATGTGCAAACAAGCCCTTACATGCACATCACTATCAAGGCCAGGCAGGGATTCTGATTGAAAACTTCCATTTACCCACCAATTCTCTGTCTTCTCAAGGCAAGCTTCCTCTCTCTTTTCTATGAATGTTTTGGTTAATCAATGCACACCACTTTCTACATTCATTCCATCCTCCTGTACTTAACGGGCATCAGTGATGATCTAGGCATGCTGGAAACAAGCAGACACAGTTCCTACCCTCTCAAAGCTTACAGTCCTGCCCTTCTTTTGCCTTAATTTTCTACAAAAAATATCAGACATCAACATTTAAATTTATTAAATACATTTTCCTTATACAAGGTCAGAGAAAATGTATTAACCCTCTCTTACTCCTGGATAGCCCTCTCTCTCCCGTCGATAACATTTCCATTATCTCAGGAAAAAGAGACCCTATAATGCCAGCTGCTACATGGCCACTCAGGGCCTCTCAACAGTCTTCGATCTCATGGAGGGCTAATTCTGCAGCTTCCAGTGTCTCCACCCTTCCCCAGTTCTGGGGAAGGCCCCATCCCTCTAGGAGGTGCTTTACCCTAGGCCAATTCCCCATTAGGGGCTCCCAAATTGGAAGCCCCACAGATAGTGGGCTCCCAGGTGAAGCTGTACCCTCTGCCACTGCAGCCACTGGGCCTCCCCACTATCCACGGGGTGGGGGGGTTCTGGGCATCTCCCCACCATCTCTAGCAGCAGCCTGCCCCAGTGTCATACCCATGTAGACAGATTTCGGGTTCAGAGGTCCTGCTGACTACTTCCAGATATAACTCTGGGGAGGAGAAATCCTGGGGCAAAATACCTTTGAAACTGAAATCAAAGGGAGAAATAAAATTTTAAATCCATTTATTGATTACAAGCAGTTGACCCGCGTCTCTCTCTCTCCTGCCACGGCAGAAGCAAGCAAATCCTCTTGCCAATCTGTCAGGTCCAGATAAGCCCTCCCTCACCCATGTAATTATCCACTGACATGGAGATGAGCTACTTCTCTTCACCCCTTGGAAACACCTGTTGATATGGAGATGAACTAAGGCCAGGCGAGAAATTCTGGAAAGACTGCGATTTTACCCACACCCTGAAAATGTTCTACTTGAACAGAAACACAGTATAGTCAGCCAACCAAACCCTAAACACCAAGCTAACTCTTGGTTCTATATATTTTATCTTGTTCCTTCTGTGAAAATGAAGGGAAAACTCACTGACAGGTGTAGAGATGCCTGCAGGGGACACTCTTACCCCCGCCCCCACTCCTCTTAAATCTGAGACCCAACTGCCAGAGGCGGAAGCCATACTGTTTTAGCTACTTTACTCACCAGCAGGAAGGTTTCCACCTTCCCAGCTACCAACAGGCCAACCAATGACAGACTGTCACAATTCAGCCAATGAGAAGCCAGAATATGTGGGACTCCCAATTTCCTCCAATGGACTTTTGTCAACTCAGCTCCATCCTCTATAAACAGTGTTCCTCTCCTTTGTTCCCTAGTTTTTATGTAGTTTGCATGTTCGTGATTGTAATTCTCTTCTCTTTCCAATAAACCCATTTTTGTTGGTAAAATTACTGTTTCGTTTTTAATGTTAACTATGTGGTCCCAGAAAATCATATATTTTTCTATCTTTCTCTTCTTTGTTCTTTATCCTATGAAAGCTTCCTACCTTCTACCCTATTTTGCACTTCGCTGGACCCTTGGGAATGGAGCCTACCACTATAATGAAGTGTTAACTGCAGGGGCCAAGAGCAGGCCACCCCAAGATGTGCTGTTGTGATATGCAGACTATTTTGAGCTGAAAACCATCAAGGCCCAAAAGACTCAGGAAAAAACTTTGACCTCTCCCAACTCCCAACTGCATAAAAAGAATTTAAATGGAGGAACTGCTCCAGGAAGAGAGTTAGCTCAATAGATAACAATATTATAATGCAAATTATGTGTGGTAGACAGGGATGGATGTAGCTAAGTCTGTTAAAATTCCTCTCCCTGATCCATTCTTTCTGTGTGGGCCGGCAACCATTTGTTCATTAAACATTTACTCTTTCATATTCCTGTGAATTGCTTTCCTTTTTCTTTGAAGTCTCAGACCTGTACCCCTTTCTCCTTGGTTCAGGATGACATGTATACATCACTGTCCCTGTCTTTGGAATCTATCTATAGATTTTATGTACATACATAATTAAACTTCAGGTTTTTTCTCCTGTTAAAATGTCTCTTGTAAATTTGATTGTTAAACCAGATAGGAGAACTTTGAGGGGTAGAGGATGAAATTTCTTCCTCTCCAACATAATATAAAATTTGTTTGTCACCTTGGTAGAGTAGTAGATAGCCAGACATGGCAGGGAATGGACAAGTGGACTTCTGCCAGTGTTTACATTTGGCTGGATGCCTACATTCTGCACATTTCATATAAACTGTTCTCCAGGGATTTGGGTATTAAGAATATAGATAGCAAACTGGCCCAAACTGGCTGGTTCCAATATGGAAGCAGTTGACCCAAACTTCACCCCAAAATACATTATACATTCTTCAACATAGTAAAAATTGATGCTGGGGTTCTTGTTTGCAGAGTCGAAGAATGAACTTAGCAACCACCCAAGGTAGGAGAGCCAGGGAGAGGCTTTTATTGAGAGATACAGTGAGAGGACAGAACTCCTAGCTCACGCCAGGAAAGGATAAGAGAGCCCAGGGTGGTGCCTTGTCTAGGGGATTTATAGGCAGTTGAGAATTTTCTGGAATGTGGTAAAGGACTTAGGGGTGTGGACTTGTTAAAAGTGGTCTTAAGATGTTTGTCCTTGATGAGACAGTAAGTCCCTTATAGCATGCTAAAGTGAATCTTATACATGATTACAAACAATTAACATAATAAAAACATGGGCTACTTTCCTTTATCTGGGGAATATCAACTGATCTCACTGAAGAATGACTCTAGAGCTTAATGTTTAACAGAGTTTTGGTAGGGGGTTTCCTTGCATATAGTTTCGTTGCTCTGACTGGAAATATCCTGCCTTGTTTTTCTGGAGGCCCTCACCCTACTCTGACTACACCCGTGGTCCCTGTCTCAAAATCACACCCCTCTTTATTTAACATGGTAAAAAAAAAAATCACATCTCCCTGCACCATCCTTGACGGTTACAAGGAGTATCAAATATAGCCAAAAACCCTTCTGCCTGATATGAGCATAGAGCAAGCTCAAACTCTGAAAAAACTCCACCTGTTCCTTTTGAAACCCAACCCCACTTATCATCTCCTTTAATATAAAAAAGGCTCCCTATTGTTTCCTCTGCACAACTCCCTCTGGGTCTGCCAGAGCCCCAGCTGTCTGGTGGGTACTATTGCCTTTCCCTCTACTCTTGTTTTCCAATAAACTCGTAATGCTCAAAGGCTTTTTGCTTCTTGAATTCTTTCTCCCAATGTGATCAAGGACCTGTCTCTGGTAGCAACCTAAATAATCCTATTTAACTATTTCTGACATACATATACATAAAATTCTCAATTTTCCCTTCAACCAACTTTACATGAATTCTGTTATGACAAACAAAAGGCTTCAGCCAATTTAAAAATAAAGATCTTCAGGGATAGCAAGCTCAAGTATTAACCCTAAAGGAAAACAATTTACTATGAATGCTGCCATGCACCCTCATCTTGTTTTATTGCTGAGCTAGAGGCCTGAAAATCTTTTTGTTGTTGTTTTTAGTTAACATTCAAGCAACATTTTTTAATTTTCTTTTTTTAATTGAAGTATGGTTGATATATAATATTATATTGGTTTCAGGTATACAACACAGTGATTTGACAGTTATAGTTATCTACATTATTAAATGCTTGCCTTAATAAGTGTAGTTACTAATCTGTCACCACACAAATATATTACAATATTATTGACTATAGTCTGTATGCTGTACTTTCATCCCTGAAGCCTGAAAATCTTGATGTCCCCCATCATCAAATACCTTCATGCAGGAGGAAGTCTATGGAAAACTACACAATGTGGTCATTGCCAACATCAAGCACTGACAGAAACATCATATCCATTCTTGAAATATATCCAAAGAAAAGATGAGTACAGCATGTCCACAGCCCTGGCCAACTGATCTTAAATTCTCTAGGTAGAAAAAAGACAATACAAATGATGCCCTCAAGGGTTTCTTTCCCTCTTTCTCTCTGTCTCCATTTCTGTCTTTGTCTCTTCCTTTCTTCTTCTCCTCACAGGCCCAAATAAGTCTGAAAAGAGGCACTTCTGAGTGAAGATGCCTCAGTGGATATCGACATTAATGTTCTAAATGACTTATGGGTTTTATTGTCCCCAGTGGGCTAACTCACCAAACTAGGCAGGTCCTACTGGACATTTGCCTAGCCAGTACCCTTGTGAGAAAGACCCAAAGAATGGGTGGGGACTAACGTATGATCCTGCTTTGGGCCAGACATGTGCCTTCTATTCATTCCTCACAGTCATCCAGAGAGGCGGGTGATGTTTTTCCCATTTGACAGATAAAGATCTGAGATTCTGAGAGGTCAAGTAATCTGTCCAGATCTCACAGGGAATATGTGGTAGATTCCATCTCAGCCTAGAGCCTGCCATTTTTACTATATCAAGCACAACCATCAGTTGAGAGGGAATTCATTCCCAGGAAGGAAGTTGTAGAGTTTTTCCCAGTAGGTCTGACTCAGAGCTCACTGCTATAGCCTGGTAAGGAAAATGATCCAGTGGAAGGAAAATTCATCCAG